TGGAGCCCCCCTATGGGGCCACAAAACGTGTGAGAGGTATGCCAACATGGATACGGTGGGCGAATGCGAGCGCTGGCATCTGGGCCTTCGGTGGAGCCCCCCTGTGGGCCACAAAACGGGTGAGGGGTGTGCCAAAATGAATGCGGCGGGCGCATGCGAGCGCTGGCATCTGGGCCTTCGGTGGAGCCCCCCTGTGGGGCCACAAAACGGGTGAGGGGTGTGCCAGAATGAGTGCGGTGGGCGCATGCGAGCGCTGGCATCCGGGCCGTTGGTGGAGCTCCCGATGGGACCACGAAACGCGCGAGGGATGTGCCAACGTGGGGGAGGAGAGGAGAGAGGGGAGGATGGGAGGAGGCAGGGCAGCGGGAGAAGTGAGGACGCGGGGGCGCTCTCTCTTCAAAACGAGGACCCAACAGCACAGGATGGCTGGGAAAAACTCACACGTGTTCGTGAGTAGACTGCACAACACCTAGGTCGTGTGGGATCGCACCTCTAGGTCAATCGAACAAGTCTGCCAGCCTGCACGCTGGAGAACACTGTCGGCATGCAGACGTGCCTGGTCACGTACTCGCTAAAGCCCTGGACCAGCGTCAGCACCACTGCCAAGTAGATGCTCTCGATCGTGCTGGATCTGTGTATCGGGCTGCTCTCCACCGCGAAGTAGATGATGAGCATGACCCCCGCGAGGCCGTATCCTGATCGAACTGCGCTCCCTCTGCCCTCCTCATCCTCCTTCTGGAGCTGCACCTCCTTGTCCACATCTGCGTTCGGTCCCCCGCCCCTCCCCGTCAAGTCTCGCTGGACCTCGAGATCGGGTCAACCTGGGGGAGCGGACTCTGGAGAAGGAGGAAACACCGATGACACTGGGGAACCTGCAGGATAAAGTGCATGAACGTACCACCTCGGAAGAGAGGAAACCCGCAATAGTCAGTGAGCCTAGGCCAACAGCCGACAGCTGGCTGGGGCTCGATGTCCGCCACCGCACTTACAGCAATTGGTGCGTCGGGCCCGTGCTTCCTTGCACCAGCTTCGTCTCCTGCGAAACAATAGTCCCACCAGCCCTCTAGGCTGAAGGTGGCCTAGGGTTGTCTCATAAGCTCGTCTCCGCTATATCTGAGTCTTAGGGGGAGAAACTAATATCCCCTGCCCTCTCTCCATGGTCCCAACTTCGGCTGATATCTGGGTCCCAACGCGCTCATCCCAGGGAGACGCAGGACTTGAGTTTGGAGTGCTTGGACTTGCCTGACGGGGCCGTCGGAAAAACAGTGGTGCCTCATTTGGAATGTCTACGTGAACTCCTGCTGCAAGCATCTCATCAAACCTGGAACGCCGAAATGTATGCCGGGAACCTCAAAAGGCGGCAGCAAATGCAACTTCCGGCAAACACATATCTCACGTTTTCCCTATCACTTCTGGCCCCGAAAACAGGAGACCCAAACCTAGGCAGCCGCGTGTAACACATGAGATGGTCCTCTCATCATGGACTGATCGCCGCAAAAAGGATGGAGTTCGGGGAAGCAGCCCTATCAGGTCGACAGTGTGACACGATGCCGCAATATCCGCCGCTGCTCTGTCAGCTGCGCAACGCATAGGATTGCAGGACGAGCGCGAGAGAGAGAGAGAAAGCGAGAGAGAGGGATACCGAAGAAACAGACAGAGAGAGAGAGAGAGAAAGATAACGAAATAACAAAGGAGCACGAAAGAAAGAGAACGAGAGAGAGAGGGAGAGAGAGGGACCTATATCTATATATAGAGAGAGAGAGAACAACAAAAGGGATAGGGATCTATATATATATATATACAGAGAGAGAGACACCGAACGTAGATGCATGCTGCACGAGCCGCACCTTCTCTGCAAGCGTGGGCCAGACAACCGCGCACGGGGGAGGTATGATGGACTCCTGGAGTCCTGCGGCCACCAGTGGCAATGCTTGACCTAGCGGCTGCTAGGGTTAGGGCGGACATGTCCCCATACTGGCGGATTTGGGAGGAAAAATTTAAAATAGTTTAAAGATACTCCAAAATAGTCAAAAATCATAGAAAAATCCTCCTCTAGAGTAGAGGGGCATGCCCGATTTACTGCCAGGGGGAGGACGAGGAAGACGAGGACGAGGAGGAGGAGGACAAGGAGAACGAGCACGACGAGGAGAAGGAGAAGGTCCAGCGGTGCCGCCGATTCCATGCAGGGTCCACGCTGCGCGAAGGTCGCAGGGGTGGAGACACTTGCCCGGGGGCCGCGGCGCGCACCCCCCGAAGCGCGCCGCCTACGTCGTCGTCGACGTCGTCGACGTCGTCGTCGTCGTCGTCGTCGTCGTCGTCGTCGTCGTCGTCGCCGTCTTCGTCGTCGTCGTCCAAGCCCACAGTGAGGAGGAGCACGAAGATACCGAGGAGGAGAAGGCGGAGGAGGAGGAGCCAGGGGGGGGGCAGGCAGGGGGGGGGCCGGGGCGCGCCGCCCGTCAGGCCGCCGCGAGCTTCCGGATCCTGTGCTTCAGGGACTCGTTCTCCTGCTCCTTTTGCCGGACGGCCTCGGCCCCCCGCTCCACCTGGGGGCCAGCCCCAGAAGGTGCGGTGGCAGCTCGTGGGAGCCTCCCACACCAGCTTGTCGGCCCCTGCGAGAATCGACGCTCATCGACGCTGCGTCGACGCGAGTCGACGCTGAACCAACGCTGAAGCGACGCCAAGTCGACGCTCGCCGACGCTGAATCCGCACGTCTCATCGACTCCCAGACGCCAGTCGACGCTAATCGACGCCAAGGACGGAAGTCAGAGCGCGCACCAGGCTCCCACGATGTGCTGCCGAACCAGAAGAGGACGCGGCGCGCCCAGCCGCGCCACGAGCGGCGAACCGCCCAAGGGCCCGGGCCGCGAGGCCGTGGGCACGGATTTTTTGCTTTCGCCCACCGACCGCGTACACGCTGGCGGCGCGCACAAGGGGGTAGGGGGAGGGGGGAGGGCTTCTTAGGAGGAGGCTGCTTCTTAGAGGGCGCCGGCCTTGCAACTATGGATAAGGCCCGCGCCTTCTAAGAAGCAGGGGTCCTTCTAAGAAGCCCTCCCCCCTCCCCCCACCCCCCTCTGCGCGTGGCCGTGCACGAGCATGCCCCCCCCCCAGGAGTGGGAGAACGCGGCACCACTCACAGAAACGTCCAGAAGTCTGCGCGGATCTCTCGGGTCGGCCCCCGTGGGGCGCCGCCCGTGGGAGGCTGTCCGGGGCCGAGCGAAGGGATCTGCGCAGATCACCGAAAGTTGAGGTTAATGCAGACGTCTGAGGAGGAGGAGGAGGAGGAGGAAGAGGAGGAGGAGAAGGAGCCACCCCATCTTGCGAGGCCGCCCTCACGTCACGAGCGCTCGCGCAGTGTGCGCCGCCAGACTATGGCCACGCGCACTGCCGCGGGGGTCGGGTCCGAGGGACTGGGGCGAGACCCCTGGGCGCGCGACCACGTAGCGGCGGACACGGACATACCCTGGCGGTGGAGGCCCATGCAAACTCGTTCGAGCTCCCTTTCACGATGCCAAGCATCTGGGAGGCTGAATCGGGCCTCCGTGCGTCAGGCGGGCGTGTGGGGTCGCTGGGCCTGCGCCAGAAGTGCACGCTGGAATCCCATAGAAACACTGGTGCCTCCGAGCATGCCTGAACGAGTGTGGAGTGGTCGCTGGGAGTATGGCCGCCTTTGGGCAAGCTCGTCTTCGGGTGTGCCTGCACGACCTCGGAGCGGTGGCCTTCAAAGAGAACCCAGGGGAACCCCACTCGTGTACTTGCGCGTGCGTCCTTGCGCCGCTCCTGGCCACCCGCTGTCGCAGCCCGCGGAGCTCCTCCGCGTCCACGGCCCCCGCGGCCCACCCCGGCGCGCTCGGCAGCCCGGGGTGCGCGGCGGTGGTGTCGAGGTCGCCCGGCATCTGGCCGACGCTCTGGGAGTAGAGCTGCGCGATGCGGCGCACCTCGCGCGCCGCCCGGTCCCTCTCCTCCATGAGCCTCGAGTTCGCCTGGGAGAAGCGCTCGAGGGACTGCTCGTGGTAGGCCTTCTCCTTCTCCTGCTCGCGCAGCGTGTCCTCCAGCCGCGCCGCAGCCTCCGCGGGGGCTGCGAGATCTGCGCGCGGGGCACACGCCCCGCGCGTCGGGCCGCCCCCCTGCCCCCCCCCACCTGATGCCTGCAACCGGCGTGCCGGCCCCCCTGGGCAGAAGCCAGGAGAGCGCACGAACCCATCTTCGGGGGCAACTCCTGGGAGCCTCCCATACCATCTCGTCGGCTCCTGCGAGTCGACGCTCATCGACGCTAGATCGACGCTAGATCGACGCTAAGCCGACGCTAAATCGATGCTACATCGGCGCTATCTCATCGACTCCCAGACGCTAATCGGCGCTAGAGACGGAATTAAAGGGATAGATCAGTCTCCCATGACTTGCTACCGAACCATCCCTGGCCCAAAGGCGGTGCACATGCACGAAGCACAGATCCCGTCACTCGCGGCCTGGTTCCGCTCCAGGGTAGCCGTCTCGAGCGCGCAGCAGCTGCGTTTCAGCTCCTTGAGGAAGCAACTCACGGAAGCTTCTGGTCGTCCCGATGTCGTCTAATAGCGCGCCCAATCGGGCGCAAAGCGGACAGGATGCATCTCCCTCACGCGGCGCTGGTGGGCGCTCTTGGTCGCTATGGGGCGCTGGGGCGCTATTTGAACGCTCTTCGGCGCTGTTGGGCGGTATTTGGAGCTAATGGGCGCTCATGTGCGCTTTTCGCCGATATACATCCAGTCCGAGACAAGCGGATGCTTCCGTCACGTGGCGCCAGTGTGCGCCCTTGGTCGCTATTGGGCGCTAGTTGAGCGACATTCAGGCGCTATTCCTATTCGGCGCCAGCAAGCGCTAGCGAGCGCTGTTGGCGCCATTCGCCGCTATACACCAAATCCAAGACGAACGGAAGCTTCCGTGATTTGCTGCCTGAGCTCCTTCTCCGCGCACCCGGCCCCACCCTGCGCCTGGCGCAGCTGCAGGATGTCGAGCTGGCCCTTCACGTATATGAAGCTGTCCTGAAGCTCCTGCCGCTCGCGGTCCCGGTCCTGCAGCTGCCGGAGGAGGTGCTCCTCCACGCGGGCGACATCTCTGCGCACCACCGCCGTGCCTGGCCAGGACGAGCCTGGGCCGCGGAGTGGTGCACGCACGCACTCCTGGCCCCGGCCGCGCTGGTCTGTGCTGGGCCCCCACGTGCGAACCCCCTCGCTCTGCAGGCGACACTCCTGAGCATAGCCGGCTCGGGGCCAGAGTTCGCAGGATGCCTGCAGCCAGAGGAACCCCCAGTGAGGGGCGTCCGATGCCCCAGCGTCGACTGGACCCGCAGGGGCAGGGCGCGCAGGCGGCCGCAGGCGCGCCCCGGGGCTCAGGGGAGGACCCTGGCCGGGCGCGGCGGTGGCGCGCGGATGCCGCCCGCGGCTCCTTCTGGTGGTGGAGCCCCTCCACGTCCTGCCGGAAGCGCTTCAGCTCCTGCGCGAGCGCCTGCTCGGACTGCTCCCGGGCCGACTGCGGCGCCGAGGGCGCGCCCGCGCCCGCCAGCTGCGCCCGCAGCGCGTCGCGCTCCTCGCGCAGCTGCCGCAGCTGCTCGTGCACCCCGGGCTGGCGGGCGGCGGCGTTCTCCGCCCTCTCGCGCTGCAGCTTCTCCTGGAGGCAGGAAGCAGCGGCACGAGCGTCAGCGCTTGAGGGTCCGAGCAGGGTTCTCGGGGCGGCGCTGGACACCCCCCTGGCGGCGCCTTTCGCGCGCTCCGCGCGCCAGGGAGGGGGGCTCCAGCGCAGCTCCGCAAGAAGCCCGCGCGGACCTCCGAAAGCTGACGGTTGTGCCTTCTTGTTCTCCCTTCGGGTCTCCACGCGCTGCTGCATGCTCTGGAGCTCCGCCTGGGCCCTGCGGTTCTGCGCCGCCAGCTCCCGCAGCTGCTCCCTCGCGCCCTCCTCGTCGGGGGGGCCCAGCGAAGAAGACGTGGTGCGGACCCCCTCGGCGCACTGCTCCTGGAGCCCGTCTATGACGTCGGTGAAGCCGCTGATGGTCTCCACGAGCTGCTCCTGAAGGTCTTTTTTTTCCCGGCCCGTGTTCCGCAGCATCTTCTCCGCGAGCTCCCGCTGCTGCATGGCGCGGTTCAGCTCCTTCGCCAGCCTGTCCAGCACGAGGCAGGTGCGCAGGCGGCGGTCCTGGGGGCACGAACGAGGCACCGGTGCCGCTAGTCCACGGGATCCTCATGGGGTGCGAGAGTGTCAAAGAGGATCCAGCCTTGGCGACGGGGGCTCTCCAGGACGAGCAGCGGTATCGATATTTTTGTCGGTGAACGGACAACACGCCCTCATCCCTGCAGGGACTGCTGTCCCACCCCTCGCGATCTAAGGGGGCGCTATAGATATGGGCGCGGGTTCCCATGCGGGCGGGAACTCCCACCCGACAACCACACACACAGCCTCCCCGAATTCCCCCCCCCCGGGGGGCTCTCGGGGTGGGAAGCTATGGGTCGGCGGCGAACGAGGGGGGAAAGTGAGAAAAATGAGGCCTTCTCATAAGGCGGCGGGACCTCTCAGAAGCCCTCGCGGTTTCTGAAAAGCCTTCCGTGCATTCGGGGGAGGCTCAAAAGACCTCTCGAAAGGCCGGGGGACTTCCGAGCCTCCTGGGAAAGCCCTCCCCTTTTCGCTTCCCCTCGGGGGACGTGAAAGTGGGGTTGGGGCAAAGGTGGGGTTTTTGGGTGAGATTGGCCCGGACGGCCCCTTGAGAGAGAGGGAACACGCCAGCCTCGAACTGGGCTCGCCCCCCTGACCCCCTCCTTTGGGCGAACCCCACCTCTACGCACCCCGATTCTGAAATACTTGTATTTGAATTCGGATACCTGGTGATTGAATTCAAACAATCAGTTTCTTGAATGAAAAACTTATTTGTTTTTCAAAAACCTATTTGGGGAATTCAAACAACAACGTTCGGCGCTCCGCGCGGATTTCTTGGGTCTGCGCTGGACCCCCCTCCCTGGCGCGCGGAGCGCGCCAGGGGCGGCGCCAAAGGCGCTGCCGGGGGGGCCCGGCGCGGATCCAAAAAACCCGCGCGGAGCGCCAAAGAAGTTTATGTTTGTGGCGTTTTCTCTTCTTCGAGATTCCCCCCGCGCACGCCGCCGAGACCAACCCGCCCGGGCTGGCAGCACACCGACACTTTCTGCGTCGGCGGCTAAGCAGGGCAACTGCGCTGGCGGAGGGCTGCCTAACCGGGGGGGACACCGCTGTAGCGAGTTGTGCCACCGTGCAGGAGGGAGGGGACAAGCAGAGGGGGCGAAAGAGGCGGCGGAGGGAACCGCCCAAGGGGGACGGGTCACGCCCCGAGCGCGTGGCGCGGCCAGCCCCCCCGGCGGGCCCGCGGCGGCTGCTGCACCAGGGGGGCCGCCGCCGGCGGCGGGGCGCCGTGCGGGGGTAGGCACCACCGCAGGGCCCAGACCCCCGACGTCGTGAATTTCTCATGACGTCGACCCCCAGCTGTCTGGACCCATTCCCCGGGACCGGTTTTTCGTCCTGAGTCGTTTTTTGACGGTCCCGAGGGCCGGTAAGGGCCCCCAGAGGCCAAAAATAATGAAAAACCTCCCGTCGTGATTTTTTCAGAGCAACGGTCCCATTTTTCTTGCGGAGACTGAATCTAGCGAAACTCTGGACTCGTCATGGCCAGAGGCTTTGAGCTTAAAGGCATGCCTTAAAACTCCTTCTCCCCGAGGGTTGGGGGGGCGGGAGACCAGAAACAACTTGAGCGGAAAAGGGCAGCAGGGTGTTGGCGAGTGCACATCAGACAACGGGCAGAATATTCCCTTTTGCCCAACATCACACGTATGGCCCCTCTGCTCAACCCGTTCTAAAACCTCCAGAGCAACGGTCCCATTTTTCTTGCGGAGACTGAATCTAGCGAAACTCTGGACTCGTCATGGCCAGAGGCTTTGAGCTTAAAGGCATGCCTTAAAACTCCTTCTCCCAAATCATCCCGAAGCTATCCAGGTTGGATGTTCGCTAGGGTGGGGAGAGAAAGGGTGGGAGTGACAAGCTCGCTTTTCAACAGTACTAGCTAAGAGGGTCGAGACCATTGCCCGTGCCAGACCAGGAGGGTATTCAGAAGCAATGCGGGTGCGGCGGAGGCCACCTGGTCCCCCGCCGCTGAGTTGCCAATGGGGTTTCCCAGTCCTAGAACATATACAGCCCTTTGGTCGGCATCGACGGGTGAGCTTAATTATATCTTCCTGATTCACGTGTGCACAGAGGAGCCGTGTGGGCTTTTTCCATCTTGCTCCATACTGACACTGGTCCAGTTCAACAAGAGAGACATGTTTATGGTGCGATAAGTCGCACACCTCAGCAGTATGCCACAGCCGGCTCGTCAAGGGATGTTCGAGGATTACGGGAACCCCCAGTTTCAAAAAGAATCTGAAGAGAGAAAGAGCAACCCGAGCGAGGCGGTTGCCTAATTCCACTGCTTCGGCATCGGCAGGCGTCAGCTCGGAGGCGGGGAAGCCCCATGGCTTCTCGCGGCTGCGCACAGGTCTCGACCTGTCGTGCGCGAGGGAAAAAGTCTGGCACGGAGGGGCCATTGTTGCGGCCACCAGTCGGCCAGCTCGAGCGTCAGCTTTGATCGCCCGCAGCACGGCAGGCGACAACAAGTCTTGCCATTTTGCATCATAGATGACGTCCCAACTTCTCGCCCGGAAGCCCTCGGCCTCGGCCGCCCGAGACACCGCCCGGCAGCCCGCGAAGAGATCGCCGAGGTACTGGCCCTTGCCGAGGCGCGAGCGGCGAAGGCGGCCACGAGATCGGCCTCCACGGTATCCAAGGTGCAGCTGGCTCACATGCGCCACATCTGCACGTTGTGGGGCCGGTCCGTCAGGATGAGCGCCAGCTGCCTCTCCGCCTCCTCGCACGTCGCGCGCAGCCGGGGGTCGAGCTTCGCATAGTCGCTCCCGAGCCTGCTGCTGTGCTCGTAGCGGTGCATTGACTTCGCCTGCGTCCACTCCCCGCGTCGCTGCGCCGAGGTCAGACTGCGCCAGCCTTTCGCCAAGTCGATGCTGGCGCCCGAATGTCTCATCTGGTACAATGTCACCGGGGCCACCCCGAGGTCCTCCGCCGCCTCCTTGAGCAACGTCGCTGCCTCGGGGTAGCTGAAGTTCCACAGCGGTTCCTTCGACGTCGTCGAGGCCAGCCGCTCGAACACCTCGTCCAAGCCCTGGAGGTACGGCGAGTCCAGGGGGCAGCCCTCGTCGAAGTGCCCACGTTTGCTGGGCCTCTTCCGCTCCAGCGGGTGGGTCAACAGGGCCCAGTGCCTGCTGACACCAGGCGACGGTGGCACAAGGTCGCACCGCCGGGCGGCCAGCAAGGTCGAGGGCCGACCATAGATCGATACGCCTATCATCAAGAAGATGCCCAGGCGTAGGTGTCCCCGCTGCGCCAGCCTCCAAGCCAGCCCGCACCAGACCGGAAGGGCAAGGGCCTTCCGCCGCCTGCCTGGGGTCAGCCTGCGCCAGGCCTTCAGCGCCCGCCACGTCCGCGGCAGCTTGCGACCTCCCACGCGCCCGAAGTCCGGGTTCGCGCTGACCCAGGCTGCGACCGTCTGGTCTCCGTAGTTGCTCTGCTCGCCCTGCAAGTAGTTCTCGGTCATGTAGTTGCACATGAGCTCGTCGATCTCCGTGTCCGGCTTCGCCAGGATCTGCCTCCGGCTCAGGCCGGCACGCGAGTAGAAACGATCGAGATATCGCTGGTACCTCACCTGCGTCGCCTGGGTCACCGCCAGGGTCTCCAGGAGGCTCACGCCCTCGCCCTGCGCCGCCAGGATAGCATCGGCGTACAGCTTCGCCCGCCGGTGCGCCCTCCGCGCGCGCAGCTGCCGCATTCGGGCCCGAGTCCGCCCCAGCTGCTCCACCACCGAGTCGGAGCCGCTGGAGCTGCTGTCGCCCTCGGCGTCCTCCCCGGCGTCTCCAGCGAGGTCCAGCCCGTTCGCGTCCCTCTCGTCGAGGGCCGAGAGATGCCGCCCGGCCTGGCTGGCCCTCTTCTTTGAAGGCAAGAGGGGGGCCGGCGCCAGTATCCGCGCCCGGCCCAGCGCCCCGGGGCTGGCGATCGCCCTCGCGCCGCTCGGGTCCGAGCGCGAGCCCGCCGGCGCTGCCACGGCCGCCAGCGCACGAGTCCGCGCGGCCGGCCGCCGAGCGCCCGCCCGCAGAGGGGGCGTCCGCGCCCGCGGCGCCGGCCCGGCCAGCACCCGAGCCCTCTCGGGGGCCATGGCCCGCCGGCTCTGGCGAGTCGGGAGCCTCGGGAACCCCAGCCAAGCGAGAATGGTTTGAGCAAAAACGGCTACGGAGAGGATCCCGCGTATTGTCTTTCACAGGGACGGCTCTTGGAGGACGGGTGAGCAGATTCAAACCGGCCTGGAACTTCTCATCAAGGAGAGATGTGAGAATATTACTGTCGCTCTCAGAAAAAACCCTGCTGCCTTCATCGCTTTCATTAAACTCCGAGGGGATCCATCGAATAGCGGGCGTAAGCCCCAACGCAATTGCATAGGCATAGAATCGACGGATCTGAACCAGCAAGCTGAAGCGGGACGAACGAGCCCTGGAAAAGGATAGCACCACAGACATATTGTCGGACAGAAAGAGCTGTCGCACACAGACCCCGTGTGCGGTCTTTGCCAGCCGCTGGATCGATTTTACGAGGGCCCTGGCTTCAAGGATCAGGATGTCCTCAGCAAAACGCCAGACCCCGGACCGGACGGTCTCCCAGGCCCCCTTTCGGAGCCACTGCCAGGGCACTTCAGCGAACCCGGGGTCGAGCTCCCACGAGGACAGGAGGTCAGACGCGAGAGAGTCAGGATTCTTCATATCCTCAAAACTGCACAAGGCGCCCGAGCTGTCCCGAGCAAGGTTGGCGGCAGCGAGCGCGCTCTCTCGCGCCGGCCTGCCCAGCGCCGAACGGAAGCGGGCTCGCTCAGGCAGCCGGCCGACCTGCTCCACCACGTGCTGCGGCCAGAACGACTGCGCCATGCCCCAGCCGCTCTCGCTCGCGTCGGTCTGGAGCACGCAGCAGTTCCATGGCCGCCACCAGTCCTGAACCATCAGGGTGAGCAGCCCGCGGAACATCTT